TGGAGGCCTCCATTGCTATGAGGTTGGAGGCCTCCATTGCTATGAGGTTGGAGGCCGCCATTGCTATGAGGCTGGAGGTCGCCATTGCTATGAGGTTGGAGGCCGCCATTGCTATGAGGTTGGAGGCCATTGCTATGAGGTTGGAGGCCATTGCTATGAGGTTGGAGGCCATTGCTATCCATTGCTATGAGGTTGGAGGCCATCGCTGATTGGCCTGAAGTAACAGCTCCCGCATCGGTTCGAGGGTTCATGTAGTTGCATTCCAAGCCATGAGAATCTCAGGGTGAACAGATGACATGCTTGAAGGAGCAATAAAGATCTTAAAGCTTAAAACCTAAGCCCTTAAGACTTCGCAGTTGATTGGCGTGGGGGCGAAGAACAAACGGTGTTGATCGAGCACTTTTTCGTTGCGTTGACAGCTGCACCCGACGTCGAGTTGCCACTCGACAGTCGATTGACTGCAGTTGATTGGCCGGAAAAGGGTGAGAATCAAGGCATCAAATGTCTTGACATCACAGCTTCACAAGTCCATTCCGGGTAAAGCCTCGTCTTTTACCTCCTATTAAGTATTGTTTTTTTTGCATGACCAACTCCAGTAAAATGAGGTCTTTGTCTTGAAATAGGGAGACCTCCCAGGTAACGACCCCCCTGCCAAAAGGATAGACTCTAGACCCAACACCGGTTTGGGTGTGGGGAGTCCACTCTTGGTTCTCCACACCCTGGGCATGTATTGGCATATGTTGGCATCACTGTTGGCGACACGAACTCGACTCCCCTCTTGTGACGACACGACCTCGACTCGCTTCCGGTTTATGTTACTCGTCATGCCGTCGGAGAGCGCGTGTGCGCCACGTTCCGTTCTTCTCGTCGCGGGGTCCGTCTCTCGGACCGTGGAGCGCGGAGCTCCGGAGCGGAGCGGAAAGTCATCGGAAGCGAAGACGAGCTCAAAAACACCATGAAACACCTGCGCTCCATCCGTTCGTCGCGCAAAACACCAAGAAACCTCTTGGGCGGAAGAGATGGTTTGTTTTTTATGCCGCACACAAAACCATTGTCCGCGCCAGCGGGTGACACCGGCTTTTTTTCCCCCAATGGCAGCCACGGGGTTTCTCTACCTTTTCATCCTTTGAACATCCGATCGAAGGTATCTTGAAGCCATCAAGGGCCGAAAAGAAAAGAACCGTTCATTTTCTACCAGGGCCTTGATTCGGGGTGGTAGACATGGAGTGTCCCGACATGGGTGGGTCCGTCCTGGTAGGGGCGTTCGAAATAGACACGGGCCGTGGGCGTGGTCCTTCTTCCCACCTTCGGTCCACCGTCACATGCTGGACCGACCGCTCCGTGGTGGTCCGGGCAGGGCAGACTGTTCCAGACACAGGCCGGGGCAGACTGTTGACACGTGGATCGAGCAGATGGGTGGATCCAGTGGTGGATGGAGTGGATGGCATGGGTTTCGACGGCGGCACCCCGTTTCGATGACGGGTTTCGACGGGATTCGATGACGTGCGAAGGTGGTCGGCGGTCCGCTCAGGTTTGCGCGCTTTCAATTCGGATTGAACGGCGACATGAGTTGCGAAGGGAACTTGCGAAAGAAGAGCCCATTAGAACAAACTCTCGATAGGTTTTGAGCAATGCTCACATGATAAAGTGCATTGTTACTAGTAGCTAGAAGCTACTAGTAGCGATGCCCTTGTTCCTAGCAACGATGCCCTTGTGTTCCCTCACATCTGCCTCACCATGCCTGGCCACCATTGGAATCCAGAACTAGACGACGAGTGGCCCGAAAGCATTTTTCATCACGTGTGAAGTCAGAGTGTGAGTTATGTGTTAAGTGTTCAGCGTGAAGTGTTAAGTGGAGTGTGTTGAGGAGTGTGTGGGTCTCTGTGTGTGTATCTATGTCTGTTTGTGTATGTGTCTCTGTCTGTATGTCTTTCTATGGTGTGGGTGCAAATGATGATGTTTCCGTATGTCTTTCCACGTACGTCGTGTGAACAATGTTTCTCAATCTGTGGGTCTCTGTGGCCCCAAGGACACAAAGCTGTAACTCCCTCACCGGCGGGCAAGCGGCGACAGCTCCGCTCAAGGTCGCCAGCATTCGAGCTGCTGGTAAGGGGAAATGGTGTGAACCAAGTAGCGCGCAGGCCTCCCAAACCCCCCATCGGCGGCCAAGCGGTGACAGCTCAGCTCATCTTCGTGAGCATTTGAGCTGCTGGTAAGGGCAAATGGTGAAGTTCTTCACTGTAAATATAGTGAACCAAGTAGCGCACAGGCCTCCCAAACCCCCCACCGGCGGCCAAGCGGTGACAGCTCAGCTCATCTTCGAGAGCATTTGAGCTGCTGGTAAAGGGAAATAGTATATTCTTCTGTCTGAGAGCCCGGACCTCGCTGAGACGTTGCATCCACCTCAGAATGTCCACTCCTTGAGCGTTCACGCCTCCAGGAAATCTCACCGAACAAACCGAGCTGGAATGAAACATAGAAAATTGCTGAGGCAGCTACGCAACAAGTTTTGCGAAGCAGTGACCTGTGACAAGAGGAGATGTGTCCATCGATATACGGTCAGAGGTAACGTTTCCTTCACTCTAGGACAGTCGCCAGTTCTCATCTTCCAGCTCCCCCGATACTCCGCGCACTAAAGTTGCACTACAAAGTCGCCACTTCTCATCTTCCAGCTCCCCAGCTGCTCCGCGTACTCAAGTTGTACTACAAAGTCGCCAGTTCTCAGCTTCCAGCTCCACAGCTTGCTCCGCGTACTAAAGTTGTAATACGCGCGCGCACGGGACAAATTGCGCTCTCGCCTGCCTTTCGCGCACTCGACGCGCAGGATCTCCGCAGAGGGTTGCGCGGGCACCGGACAAGTGGCGCTCTCGCCTGCACTTCGCGCGCTCGACACGCACGATCTCCGCAGAGGTTGCGCGGGCACCGACCAAATCGCACTCTCGCCTGCATTGCGCGCGCCGCAGAGGGTTGCGCGGGCACCGGACAAGTCGCGCTCTCGCCTGCATTTCGCGCACTCGACACGCACGATCTCCGCAGAGGGTTGCGCGCGCCACGGACAAATCGCACTCTCGCCTGCATTTCGCGCACTCGACACGCACCATCTCCGCTGAGGGTTCCGCGCGCCACGGACAAATCGCACGCTCGCCTGCATTTCGCGCGCTCGACGCGCACGATCTCCGCAGAGGGTTGCGTTTTCGGTTGACGCTGTTCGTCCCACCCAACGCCTTTAAAGAGAATTTATAAAAGTGGGGAAATGTTTTTCATTAGGATATCTCCCGTGAAAGTTTTTTCAATACTCACACTTGCATACTTGCGCTGGGATACTTACACTTGCACACTTGCACTTGGATGCTTTCACTCTTATACTTACAATGGGATACTGACACTTGCATACTTTCACTTACAAGCGTTCACTTGGATACTTCTGTGCCATTGTGAGTATAGAAGTGTAAGTGTTCAAGTGTAAGTGTAGAAGTGTCAGTGTTCAAGAGATTTTCCGGAAGAACTCTTCGCAATGCTTTCGGGAAAAAACCCTTTCACCCCGACCACGGAGCCCTGCGCCCTTTCCTCCGAGTCGGACGGACGCCGCGACACTTCGCTGCAACTGCTTCCTATGTTCGCAAGGCTGTTGGCGTTCCTTGCGTGAAAGGGCCACTGGATGAGTCGCTCGACAGGAGACGAATGAGTTGAGATGAGGCCTCCACCCCAGTAGCAATGGCCTCCACCCTGGCCAAACGCCATGAATTGCCGAGTGGGGACTGTCCGGCGGCTGCGTTGCTGTCCGGCAAGCGGGGTGGCTGATTCCCTGTTGAGGTTCATCAACGGTCGTTGTGAGACTCTCATCCCGGACGGTACTTGGGATGGGGTTTGACAGGGTTATAGTCATTGACATGAGATATTTTTTGTTCAGCGTTCCTAGGGAGAGGTGATTTGTAGGTGCGCAGTTGCCTTTCGATCGCCTTGGTGCAGGGTTGGTTGAGGATGGACGTGGGTGAGCTTCATGATCACCTTCAGAGGGCCTCACAAGGTACTGATGCGTGATCCCAGTTGTTGGATCAATTCTCTTTGTTGCTTTGGGAAGATGGCAGGGCTCCCAAGAAAGACTGCTTTGGTGAGCCGGCAGGGCTCCCCCAGCCCTTCCGGCTCCACCAGACCGTCGTCCAGACCGCGGTCAGACCGAAAAACCGCAGGGCCCAGCGGTGGCCGAAGAACCAGCCGGCCCAGGTGTAAACTGACATCACCAGACTGTGGATCCCCTCGTTCTCCCACAGCGACTTGGAAGAAGACACCGGTGTTCCCTCGCCGGCACGGAATAGGGGCCCTCCTCGCCCTCCCCCGACCACGGAGTCTACCCGCAGTGGGTGCGGACACCCGGCCCACCATTCATTTGGCTCAACTGCGGGTCATCCCGAATCAACTGCAGGCTTTTACACGAAAAACACACCCAGACCAGGTCGTTCCCATCTTTTTTCATGGTCGTTCCCGGAAGTCGGACGGGCTTCGGGTCACCAGACGCGGTTTCGGACGACATAAGACTTGAGAAACCTGAAACCCATGAGAGATATGATATAATAAAAAATACATATATATATATATACACTGTATTGTTTGCATGTACAGCCCATAAATACTCCGCTAGAGTACTGCAGACACGTGACTCATGACGTGTTTTGGCTCAAGGTGAAAAGGCGTTCCGAAACGTCGAAACCTCGTTTTCATGGTAGCGCACGAGTCCGGTGAAAGTGACAGGGACAAAGCGCTGTCCATAAAGGAAGAAAGACACAGTAAGGTCGAGAGCTCCGAAGAAGAGGAGCTGGAATCCCCGGGAGCGGCAGCTTCTGCCGCCCCGAGTGGAAAAGAAGAAGGAAGGAAGGAAAAAGAGGAGGAGGAGCACCAGCCTTTGCCCGCCACATCAGCGGCGGATCCAGCCGCAAGCACCACTCCAGCGGTTGAGAAGACCGCCGAAACAACTTCAGCGGTTGAGAAGACCGCAGAAACAAAAGAAGAAGAGGAAAACACAAAAGGGACAGAAGGCCCAGGAGAAGAAGAAGAGCCTGAACGAGATCCAACAGTTGAGCCAGGGGCTGAAGCGGCTGATCCAGCCGCACAGCCGTCATCTGGCAGAGTTATCGCCGACTTCATCACATCCCCGGAGGGTATCAAAACAGGTTGGGAAGTTCGTGGCATTCACGCCAAGTATACCCCAGCCAAAGTCGATCCTAAGGCACCTTGGAGGAAGCAGGTGAAGAAACAGATTTGGGGCCAAGTCAAGAAGCACCCGGAACCACAGTCCGGATTCCGACTTCGAAGCAAGGTTTCGCTTCAGTATCGGAAGCTCAAGGACCTGGTCAGGTTGCAGAAGAAGCAGGGTGTTATCACAGAAGACTTGACGAGGCGCATCAAGGATTTCGGCAAGGAGCGCCCGCCGCACGAGATCAAAGAAGAGCGGGAAGAACAGAAGGTCCGCAATCAGGAGAAGCGGATCAAGAAGAGGAAGACCTCAGAGAAGAGTGAAGCGGCTGATTCAGCCGAGGAGGAGGTCGAAGAGGAAGAGTCGTTGAGCCTACCGAGTCCGGTTCCGCAGCCCCGAACACCGGACGGGCCACCGCCGGCCAAGCGACCGCAAGCCAGGAACACCGAGCGTGGACGAGCGGTCTGGGGGCGTGCGCTGGAGCTGAACCTCCGCATTGTCACCCTAGCCAACGAGCGGGCCCAGCGAAAGCCGATTGAAAATTGGAAATTAGAGAGCCCATTCCAAGTGCGAAAGATTGCGGCCGACGAACTTGTTGAGCAGCGAGGCCTTAAAGGTACCGTTGCATTGGCCGCCATTCGCGAACTCTGGAAGACCCCCAACGACCAAGGAAAGAGAGGGTCCAACGAGGCCTGTAGTAACTGTAGTAGTTGTGACGAACGAAGACAGGCACAATTGCCTGTGGTTCAGGACTACATCAAGCGACGGGGACTTAAGGGCCCTGCTCGGCTTGGATCGAGCGCCAAGGCAAAGGCGGCGCCAAAGGTGAACTTGACGCCAAGACCAAAAGAGAAGGCCAAAGCAAAGGCCACACCAAAAGAGAAGGCCAAAGCAAAGGCCACACCAAAAGAGAAGGCCAAAGCAAAGGCCACACCGACAGTAGGCCGCAATCCGGAAGAGCTGACACGGACCACCATCGAGGTCCGTGGAGTGCCAAAAGCTTCCAAACCTTCCCAAGGGTGAAAGCCCTTGGACCGGCCTGGTAAGGGGCCGGAGATCGGACGAATCGTCCGCAGCTGAAAAGGTGCGAGAGCAGCGCCTGAGATTGGGGAACCATGGCTTTGGAACAACAGGTCCAACAGTTGTCTGATATGGTTTTGCAACTCCAGCAAAACCAGGCACGGTTGGAGCAAGAGAACCAGGTATTGAGAGAATCCCAAGGTGGGGTATCGATGTTGGCTTCAGTAGTAGGAGAACTGGCTAGGAGCCTTGAGAAAAATAGACGAAAGTCCCAAATACTTACGGACACCAAAGGGTTGGGTCGCCCTGAGAGTTTTGGGAACGTTGAAGGGGAATTCCGAAAGTGGGCTAGGAGCATCGATAACCTGTTCATATCCACTTTTGGGAGAGAGTTCATTGAAGTTCTTGAGTATATTTTGGAGCAGGAAGACGCGATTGAAATGAGTGCTATGGAGTCCGCGTTTGGGACTGGTACCATAGCAGCCATCGATGATCTAGAGGATAAAGCTGATCAAATTCATCGCGTCCTCCTGACCCTGACCTCAGGTGAAACAGAGGATTTGATGGTAGGAGCTTCAAATGGATTTGAAGCATATCGACGGGTTCACCGTCGTTGGGGTCCCCGAACTTCGGGACGGAAGCGTAATATACTTCGAGCAATTCTCCAACCTGAACGAGTCAAAACCTGGTCCGCGGTGAGGCCAGCAATCGAACAGCTCGAGGAACTCATCAGGCGGTACGAGTCCCGGAGGAGTGCCGCAGGAATAAGAGAGACTCTATCGGACGACATCAAGTCCGCTTCATTGGAGATGTTGGTACCCCCAGATTTGGAGAAACATCTTTTGTTGAACAAGAGTAGATTGACAACCTATTCATTGACCAAACAGGAGATTGAACTTGTCATTGAATCATCTCTTACATCAAAGTCATCTGTTCCAAAACCAGGTTCATCGAGTTCTAGTTATCAAGGACCTCAACCCATGGACGTCGATTCGATCGGACAATGGGTTGCAAGCCTAGTCAAAGGAAAAGGTAAAGGAAAAGGTAAACAGGCCAAAGGTGATGGAAAGAAAGGCTCAGGCAAAGGAGGCTCAAGTAAAGGCTCAAACCCGGCTCAAGATATCACCTGCTACAATTGCGGTAAGAAGGGACACAGAGCGGCCGATTGCTGGAGCAAGAAACGGCCGGATGGAAAAGGCGATAAATGGTCAGGTTCAGGCAAAGGAGACAGGAGTGGCAAAGGTGGCAAAGGCAGCAAAGGCAAAGGTGGAAAGGGCGGCAAAGATAAAGCCGCAGGAAGTATGGAAGAGATGGACGATCCGGATGATGGCATTGAGCCAGCTCCGGAAGCAGATGTCGGAATGCTCATGGCAGACTTGAGTGGAATTGGAATAGCGGATACTTCATCCGCCGAAGAATGGATGAAGTTTAACCTGGACACTGGAGCAGCCCAGACAGCCATCCCGAATGGCTGGGAGGACAGAGTGGTTGTCAGTGAAGGCAACGGGGTTGTTTTCAAGACTGCATCAGGAGAGTTGGTGCCCAGTCAGGGCATTGGAACCTTTGAAGGGTTCGATGAGAGCGGCAACAAATGCCGTGTGAAAGGCTCAATGGCCGATGTTCACAAGCCATTGATTTCAGCATCCAAATGCTTAGGCTTTGGAAGGATTGCAGTTCTTGATGTGAATGGCGGAAACTTGATTCCACAAGGGTCCAAAGTTGGAAAGGCTGTTCAGGCGATCCTGGAGAAAGCGAACGCTGCAGAGCAGCGAAGTTGGATCCCTGTGTATCAAGAGCAGGGAGTGCACAATTTCTACTTGAGAAAGCCAGGGTATAAACCGACCAAGGAATGCTGTGGCATTGCAGAGTTGAACGCCGCAGGAGAAAGAGGAGATGTCTCTATGGATTCAGGCCGACCTGGTCCAGAGAGGCAGGAAGAAGATGATGAGTTGGAATTAGTTGATGAGGTTGAGAAACCCATCCAGATAAGAGCTCCGGAGGATCCAACTCCGGCTGAGATCGAAGAGCGCGAGGCGACAGGCCATGTGCAGTATCGAAATTGGTGCCGGCATTGCATTGCTGGACGGGCTGTAGGACAGCCGCATCGGACGAGGTCCGAGGAACAGAAGGCAAAGAGCCTTGTGCCCACAGTGGCAATGGACTACACGTTCATGTCACGGGGCGGTGTGGAGGACGAGCGAGTGAAGCCGATCCTCGTGGTGAAAGATGAGAGGACACAGTCCTTAGCGGCGACCTTCGTGGATTCGAAGGGAGCGACGCCGTATGCAGTGAAGTTCGTGGCGAACTTCTTGAAGAACTTGGGACACCGCAAGGTGGTTCTCAAGTCGGATGGCGAGCCATCCGTGGTAGCCTTGAAAGAGGCAGCAGCGAAAGAAACCAGCATAGACTGGGTTTCGGAAGAGTCGCCAGTAGGAGACCATCAAGCGAATGGTCTGGCAGAGAACGCCTGCAAGGAGGTCAAACGTCAAGTACGAGTCCTCCGCAGCGCGTTGGAAGAGAAGCTCGGCAAAGAGCTCAAAGATGATGATCCTGCATTGGCATGGCTGCCAAGGCAGGCGGGAGACCTGTTGAGCAGGTACAAGAAAGGCCAAGACGGCAGAACGCCCGAGGCCAGAAGATGTGGAAAGCAATGGCGAAAAACCCGCCATAGCTTTTGGTGAACGCCCATACTTTAGAGAAGTTGGCGAGGGAGTTCGCATCCTGAAAGAAGAGGTCACCATGGCCGAACAGGATCCATTTTGGTGATGAAGGCCGATGGCGTGCGCAGAGGCACAGGAATCCGGCGGCTGAGTTCAGCCGACCGCTGGGACCCAAGCGATTGGGACCTTTTGCGGGGCTTACCGTGGGAGCACTCCGCGGCAAGGCCTGCCGGTGAGCAGCTGATGCTCGAAGAGCGTCTTGTGGTACCACCTCCCAAGGAGGAACGAGTGGCACCACCACAGCAGAGGCGAGTGTACATCAGGAGAGAGGATGTGCACAAGCATGGAGCCACAGAAGGCTGCCCAGGATGCAGGTGCATCTTGGAAGACAAGAGGACGACCTTGCCACACACAGAGGCGTGCAGAGCAAGGATCACCGAAGCGATGGAAAAGGATGAAGCTGGGCAAGCGAGACTTGATGCCCATGCAAAGAAGAGGAAAGAACGGCAACAGCTCGACACTGTGAAGCCGAAAGTCGTGGCCGACAAGGACACCGACATCACGGCCGAAGACGCGGCCGGAGAACCAGAGAAGAAGGAAGAAGCAAAGAGCGCAGGATCGGGAAGCCCGCCGCCAGCAGCGGCAGAGGGTGAGAAGACCTATCCCGATGACCCGAAAGAGCGATATGAGATGAAGAGACAAGCAGCCGAGATGGAGAAGAAACCAGTGGCGAAAGCCAAGGTAGCAACAGGAACAGGAGAACTTAGGATAGATCCACCCGGGGCAAAGGTCAAGCCGAATCCAGCCCAAGGAACAAAGAGGACGGCAGAGACTGCCGTAGAAGACCTGGATCCCAGAGTGGAAGAGAGTCCAAAGAAAACGTCTCAGTTTTCACATGTTCCAGAAACACCACCAGCAGGGTGGAAGCCAGATGCAGCAAGCTTGGTAAAAGAGAAGGAGATCGCAAAGCAGCATCTGAAGAAGATCATTCAAGGAACCTATGAGGCAAATGGCATCGAGATCACTGAGCAAGAGATCGGAGACATCGCGCATTTGAGCATGCAGATGTCAGCAGTAGATGTCATGGAAATCTACTCGCCCAAGAGGTTCACCGCGCTTGCAGAGCGGTACAAGTTGCGACCGGGCTTCGCGGTCGACTTGAATGAAATGAAAAGTGATGGAACATACTGGGACTTGAACAAGTCCAAAGATGTCCAAGAGGTGCACGACATCTTAGAGAGAGACGAACCGGCTCTCTTGACTGGTTCGCCTCCGTGCCATATGTTCTCGCAGCTCCAGAATCTAAACTGGAGAAACATGGCACCGGATGTCAGGAGGAGGAAAATGGACGAAGCCGTCCATCATCTTCATACGAGCGTAGAGCTGTATGTCAAGCAGCATCGCTCAGGGAGAAAATTCCTCCATGAGGCACCATGGGCCGCAACCAGCTGGAAGGATGAGAAGGTTGAGGCCTTAGCAAAAGAGGATGGTGTGTTTGTGGTAAAAGGTCCAATGTGCAGGTGGCAGATGATGGCCACCGACCGAAGAGGACTCGCCGAGTCTTGCAAGGAGTCGAATGAATCGGGCAAAGGACCATGGCACCGACACATCCATCTGATCGGAGGCATTGCTAGGCAGGCAGCGGTATACCCACCGCAGCTTGTGAAAGCAGTGCTGAGGAGCCTGCGTGACACGCTAGCAGAGAAAGGTGAGTTGAACACCTTCGATCTGTTCGCAGCAGCCCCAGTTCCAGAGATGCCTCTGATGGACCCAGAGTTCGAAGAGGTCTACATGGATGATGTGAACGGCGGCATTTTGCCAGCCGAGAAAGTAAAGGAGGCCAGACGCCTTGAGATGGACTACTTGAAAGAGAAGCATGGCGTTTATGTGCCCCGGCCGAGAGCCGAATGTTTTGAGGAAACGGGGAAGCCCCCGATTCCAGTCAGATGGTTGGACACCAACAAGGGAGATCCAACAAACCCGAACTACAGGAGCCGATTAGTTGTGCGTGAGGTAAAGGCAAGAAAGACCAAAGAACAACAATTGCCAGCCAACTTGCTTTTCAGCAGCACGCCCCCATTGGAGGCGATGAGACTGCTGTGCTCGTTGTGGGCAACAAAGAGAAAGTCCTGCCACAACCAGCCGCTGAAGCTGGGCTTGTGGGACATCTCACGAGCACACTTTTATGGAACTCCAAAGAGAAAGATCTACATAGAGCTGCCGCCTGAGGACGAAGCCAGCAAAGATGGACAAACCTGTGGACTTCTCGTGAAGTCGATGTATGGGACACAGGACGCTCCAAATATCTGGCAGACGCACTACACAGAGACTCTGCAGAAGGCTGGCTTTCCGCAGAGGGTTGTCAAACGCGTCAGTCTTCTACCAAGAAGCTTGGGATGTCAGAGTGATGGTGCATGGAGATGACTTCCTAGCACTTGGAGACGCCCAACACTTGGAGAAGCTCAGCCAAGTCCTCAAAGATGCCTATGAGCTGAAATGTCTCGGAATTCTTGGAGACGAGGATGGAGACCGAACAGAAGCCCATTTTCTGAATCGGTTGATCCGAGTCGAAAAGAAGAACGGCAAAGGATCAATTGTGATCGAAGCCGATCGGAGACACGTTGATCTTTTGATCCAGGCATTTGGCCTGGAAAAGGCAAATGGTGTGGAATCACCAGATGTCAAGAAGTCGGCAGATCAGCAGATGCTGGAAAGCCGCAGTCCGCTGCTTGATAAGAGCGAGGCATCGAAGTATCGTTCAGCTACGATGCGTGCTGCGTATCTGTCCCAAGATCGACTGGTGTCGCCAACAGAAGCCAAACTTGCAGACTTGAAACGTCTCATCAGGTACTTGAAGAAATGCCCTGATGTTGGGCAATGTTTTGGCTCACAGCAGGTACCCTCAAGGCTGAGGGTCCAGGTCGACGCCGACCACGGTGGAGATGCTGTGACACGCAAGAGCACGACTGGCATGGTTGCCATTTATGGCACACACGTGTTGAAACACAGCAGTAACATCCAATCCACCATAGCCCTTTCCACAGGCGAGAGCGAATACTACGCACTCGTGAAGGGCGGATCTGTGGGCTTAGGCCTCCAAAGCCTATGCGCAGATCTTGGTTTGGATTTGGGAGTCACCATAGAGGGCGATTCCAAAGCAGCCAAAGGAACTGTGAACCGAGTGGGTTTGGGTAAAGCCAGACACATCCAAACTCGCTACCTATGGTTGCAAGAAAGGGTTGCCGAGGGCCACTTGAAAGTGCACCACGTTCCAGGTGTCAAGAACAAAGCCGATGTGTTGACCAAATCGGTCCCTGGGGTGCAGCTTCGCAAAACAATGGAGGACCTGCAGTATGCATTCCTCAGCAAGCGAAGCAAAGGACAGTTGGATGTTTTGGAGTAAGGTCCCTGGCCAAGCTCCACTACCACAACTGAAAGTGGCTCAGCAGCGGGAAGTTTCACATACTTTCTTTAAGCTTGCGCAGCAGTACAGTGCTTTGCAAGAGGAGGAGTGTTTGCATGTACAGCCCATAAATACTCCGCTAGAGTACTGCAGACACGTGACTCATGACGTGTTTTGGCTCAAGGTGAAAAGGCGTTCCGAAACGTCGAAACCTCGTTTTCATGTATACATATGCACCCCTGAAACTCTCATGGAAGTTAAGTGGGGCCTTTCCACTTCCATGTTAGTTCCAGGGAGAGTAGTAGTTTCTAAAGTTGTTTTCGATTGGTGCTCAGCACGATTGAAGGTCTTTGGGATTGCATAGGCAGTTTCTCCTCCAAATGCTCAGCTAAGCAAGGTATTTTCGCTTATAGTCTAGTTATGGTATACTCTATGGTCAAAAGAAGTTTTAATAGACAGCTTCCGCGTTGCTGATTCAATGTACAGAACATGATTAAGAGGAGAGTGCAGCAGTGTAGAGTAAGACATCACTTTCACAGAAGATTTTCGCAATGAAAAGCCACTGCGTTTGGTCCCGCGCAGAAGACTCCATCCAGGAGTCTTCCTCCATCCTTCATCCTTGCGCAGACAGCGCTCTCCGAACTCCATGCAGTCCACGCACCTCGCGCAGGCCACGCCACGCAGTCGGACCACCCCGTGCCGATCAGCCTCGCCCTACTCGACGCCTCCGCCCGCTCCGCGGCGAGCGCCGCCCACGTCTCCTGGTTGGCGAGTGGGAGAGAAGGTGGACGAGAGGGGAAGAAACCGGTGGCGGGAGAGTATTTCGGGTGGCAGGTTGGTTGATCGGAGTATTTCAATTCTTGAGAGTATTTCCTCTCAAGCGGATGTCGGAATTGGCTGAGACTGAGTCGGAGTGACGCCCACAGTGGGTCCTCCAAAACATTCGGGCTCCCTTTTTTTCGCCCTTGAATAATGTGTTTTTCACCATCCCTTTTCTCCCCACCCTCGAAACCTTTTTGATCACCCTCAAGATTCCTTTTTCCTCACCCTTTGGAACCTTTTTTTTCCACCCTTCCAAAACCTTTTATTTTCACCCTGCGCCCTGTCATTTTCACCCTGTAGCATGTTTCTTTCACCCTTCACCTTGTTTTTTACCCTTCGCCCTTTCTTTTTCACCCTCGACCCTTTCTATTCAACCGTTCGCCGGTGAAGCAGGTAATTCCTGGAACCTGCGCAGAGAACGATGTCACCTCCGGTTTGTTTGACACCGCTTGTCCCTGCGCCTGCCAAACCCTTTGTTTTCACCTCAATAGCTTCTTGTTACTAGCCCTTCGGAACCCTCCGGAAACTGCGTAGAGACTGTCCGGAACGACGGGAACCGCCGGAAACTGACCCAGACGCCTCCGGAACGCGAGGCAGCACAGGATCCATCCATCCATCCATCCATGCATCCATCCATCAACGGAGTGCCAACCAAATCGACCAACCAACCAAGCAACAACGCGGCCAAGCCAACAACCAACGAAGCAACCAACAAACCAAGCAACCAAACCGCATAACTCCCAAGTGCAGCAGATACTAGAAATCCCGTGCGGGGGAGGCTTGGTTTGCATTGCAGGGGAGGCGCTGCGCCCTCCCCATTTACACAGCATCCATCCATCCATGCATCCATCAACGGAGTGCCAACCAACCGACCAACCAACCAAGCAACAACGCGGCCAAGCCAACAAACCCACCAAGCAACCAACAAACCAAGCAACGAAAGCAAACAACAAGAAACCAAATCCAAGCAAACAACAAGCCAAGCAGGCCGAGCCAACCAACACACCAACCAAAGGAAGGAGAGTAAAACAGAAAGGGTGGGTAGCCCACCAGCAGCAAACAAACCAAGCAACCAAACGTTTCCCCAAATGCTGTCGATACTTGCTTTGCGTTGGTAGCCCACCAAGCAACCAACAAACCAAGCAACCAAAACCACACAACCCCGTGTTTTCCGAAATGCCGTCGATGCTTGGTTCGCAGTGCGGGGGAGGCGCTGCGCCCCTCCTGCCTTTATTTACGCAGCGTCCATCCATCAATCAATCCATCCATCCATCCATCCATATCCATCCATATCCATCCATATCCAT